TCTTTGTTTTCTACCGACAGGTCTTCGCAGTCATCGTTTTGCTGCTGCACATGCTGTTGCCAGAAAGCGAGCACTCCATTTTGATTGCCGATTTTTTACAGTCTGCGTGAGTTCCCCAACAGCTTTCGCAGTCCTTTGTAATTCGGTAGACGACCTGGCCTATGCAATGTTCGATAACGGTAATATCATGAGGTGCTGCTGGCTATATTTTATGGGAGACCTTACCGCGGTCCCTCACTCTCCTCCTTGTTCTCAACTGACCGTGGTACCGCCAATGACAGAGTTCATAATTATGATGTCCTGTCATTTTAGGACTGAATTTAATGACAACTGTTATTTCAGAAATGGCATCAACGTCGCTTGAAGGAATCTAAAAATCAATATGATTTGTTGCTCACAGCGATTGAGGAACAAAAGCAAAACCCCAGGTGAGTGTTTTTGTTACTATTGATTCATTTTCAGTAACCCTTCTTGCTTTCTTTTGTGGCAGTGGCAGCCTTAGCACGATTCTCGAAGTTCTCGAGTTTCAGATCTATCGGTTCAGCTCCATGACTTCAGTTCTCCAACGCTATAATGCGGCTTTAATGGATTCCATCCATCTAGTCATCGGTACCCGTAGGCCTGTATTTTGTGAGTTTTTCAAGCGGCCCTGCCTAAGAACCCCTTCTCATGTATTGCGATGGGATATCTGAACCATTTCACCATTTCAGTCTGAATTCTCGATCTGGAGAATAAATTATTCACAAGCGAGGGCAATTACAATTGTCATGTTTTGAGGTTTGTCGAGCTTCGTCAGAGTAGCAGTCTTTTAAAGGAATCTCATTACTGCCCGTTCTATCTTAGATCAGACTCTTTTGATCACTGTCCAATGCTCTTGTCCACACGTGATGGTTGATGTTTAGACAGACTTGAAGATTGGCGTCTATGCAATATTCTCAGTTCTACTTTCATCAACACATCGGTTTAGCTATCTCATTACTTCGCCTCCTCTCTGCCGTCATTTCTGAATACTATCCCTCGAACCTTAAACTTGTTTATTAACCAGTCGAGCATGCAGAGTGGCATTTCTTGTCAGTACCTAAATCTGGGTTTCGGTCAGGCATTTTGTTATTCAAAATTTGAACAATTTTTATTTCTCTATCTTGAAATGTATTTAAAAGCGATGTTTAGGATATGTAATAAAACAAAGCACGAGATTATGCTAGCATTCTCATTTGTTAATAGTGTGGATACCGCTTACGGGGCGA